CGCTGGACAACAAATGGGTCCAGGCAGCTTGTCACTACTTGAGCCAATTAAGCAGAGACCAGGTTGAATCATATGTGAGCATTTATTCTAATATTGCCAGCAGTATGGAGAGCAGCCAGGTCATCCTGCAAAAATGTGCTCTGCACTCCCTCCATAGCCAGTTGCTTCCCAATTACATTGGGAAGTAGGCAAAAGGAAATATCAATGGATAAAAATGGTTGGGAAAGTAGGTAAAGGGAATATCAATGAGTAAAATGGTTGGGGAAGTAACAAAGGGACCATCAATGGGTACAATGGTTGGGGAAGTAGGCAAAGGGAATATCAAGTATGGGAAGTCACGGGAGCTGGGGAATATGGGTTGTCTTCAGTGCACCACCTCCAAGACTCCAGGGTTGTTAGTCTTTCCATGATGGGTGGGAGGAGGCAGTTTTCAGGCAAGGAGAATGGACAGCATTTCTGAGGACCTCTCAGTCCATGGGACAACGCTTAGTCCACTGAGCCACACTGGCCGGGCTGCCATTGGATTTTTAAAAATAAGTCTGTGAGCCTTGGCTAGTTTAGCTCAGAGATTGGAGCGTTAGCCCATGGACCAAAGGGTCTCGTGTTCAATTCCCAGTCAAGGGCATGCACCTGGGTTGCAGGTTTGATCAGGGCCCTAGTAGGGGTAGTGCAGAAAGCAATCAATGATGTGTCTCTTTCACATCGATGTTTCTCTCCTTCTCTCTCTCTCTCTCCCTTTCTTTCTTTCTTTTTTTTTCTCTCTCTCTCCCTTCTTCTCTATCTGAAAAAGCAATGGAAAAATATCCTCAGGTGAGGATTAAAAAAATAAATAAATAAATAAAAATAAGTCTGATATACTCTGAGTTAATTTTATATTTTTAAAGACATTAGCAGTTGTGTAGAGAATTATTTTAAAGGATCAAGAATGGTAGTGAGGAGACTAGGCAAGAAATGATGGTGACTTAAGCAAGAGTAGTAGAATGGGGACATAAGATGCCATATGTACAACCAGTAGCACTTGATGATGGACTGAATGTAAAGAAGAGGGAGGACAGGAAAGAAGGAAATCAGGTTGACGCCTAGGTATCTGTACATGTGTGTGCATATGTGTACTATAGTTTGTTCAGTCTTCTACATTTGGACAATATATAATTTTCAATATTTTGTAATAACAAATAATGCTGCAATAAAATTAGATTCATTCCCCACATCACATATAAGGATAACTCCAACATTGATTGGATCAAAGATTTAACTATAAGACAAGGGAACTATGCAGATGCTAGAAGAAAAGATGAGTAAATTCCTCTTTAATCTGGGTGTAGAGAAGGGCTTTCTAACTATTACTGTTCTATCATTCAAGTCTTAGGTCAAAGTCTTCTTTAAAGGGGCTTTCTCTTGTCCCACAATTTAATGTCTTATTCCCTATCCTTCCCCTACTCACTCTCTATACAGTTCCCTGGTTTAATTCCTTTCTGGTGTTCATTAGTATAAGAAAAATTTCCTTCCTTCATTCCTTCTTTCCTCCTCTCCATTCCTCCTCTCTTTTTCCTCTTTCCTTCCTTTATTTATATTTCTCATCCTCCACACTGTAGGCTTCATCAGAGAAGGACTTTTATCTTTTTTATTTACTTCTGTATCCCCACTGATGCAGTTCTGGCACCTCACAGAAACACTCTGTGAATATGCATGTGAATATACCCATTGTCTGTCTGTCTGTCTGTCTGTCTGTGTATGTATGTATGTATGTATGTATGTATGTATGTATGTATCTATCTATCTATCTATCATCTATCATATATCTATCTATCATCTGTGATATTGACTAAAGTGATCAGGTTACTTTTCATATTAAAACAGTAATGAAACACTATGTTAAAAAGTACTCAACTATAGAATATTTGAGAAGGAATGAACATTTTCTCCCAAATAACGGGGAAGGAAATAAATAACATGCTTCATGTTGTTGTTCTTTAAAAAAAATTTTTTTATTGATTTTTTTTAGATAGAGAAGAAGGGGAGAGAAATAGAAACATCGATGAGCTGCCTCCTGCATGCCCCATACTGGGGATCAAGCCTGCAACCTGGGCATGTGCCCTGACCAGGAATCAAACCGGTGACCTCTTGGTGCATGGGTTGACACTCAGTCCATTGAGCCACAGCAGCCGGGCTTGAATTGCTCTTTTTTTTTTTTTTTTTTTAATCCTCACCCGAGGACATTTTTCCATTTTTTTTGTTCAGATAGAGTGGGAGGGAGAGAGAGGAAGACAGAGAGAAACATCGACATGAAAGGGACACATCGAGTGGCTGCCACTCTCACGACCAGGGCCGGGGACAAACTGCAACCGAGGTACGTGCCCTTAGCGGGAACCGAACCCGGGTCTCATTGGACCGCGGGCCGGCGCTCTAACCGCTGAGCCAAACCGGCCAGGGCTTGAATTGCTCTTTTATTCAAACTTGTCTTTCTTTTTAGGCAGATTGGAATAATAAGCAGAGTGGTGGGTGGGTGAAGTTCTAGAAAGCAACAGGAGGAGCAACAGAGATGGAGTAATGAACTAAATAAAGTGAAATAATGGGATGGATGTAATTCAGTAAAAATTATATAAGTACAAATTACATGCCAATAGTCTTGATTTTTCTGGGCTAATGGGAGGGAAAAGAAATATTAATAAATCAAAATAAGAGGGTAATTTAGAAAAATTATATTTGATTTTGGAATTCAGCCAGAGGTACACAAACCATAGCTGTTCATCACCCCTCCCAGGACTAGGTTCATTTTCAGCAGCCCAGGTAGGGCCATAAATGAAGTGACTAGAACAAGGCTACCTTGGTATTGCCCCGCTCTCAATCTCCACAGCTAGCTTTACATACTCTGCTCAGTATTTTAAATTAAAATAACTCTGGTAAAAGTAAATTATAGACTGGAACTTTTCTCCAGACTAGATAAATTCTCATTTAGTCTGAAACCTCTGTTCCCATAGTTTTGCCTTCCTATTTGCCATTTCCAACTTTAAACAAGCCTTATCCCTCATTCTAGACTTGGTCCAAGTTCCAACTTCTGTGAAGATTTTTCCAAAAGTATGAGTACCGATGAGTTTTACTGAAATTTCTGTGACACTCATGTTGCATTGCTTAGTAATTATTGCATAAACATGTAACTTGCCTCTTTTTTGTTTTGTTTTTTGTTTTGCATAGTTTTATTTTTTAATTTTATTTTTGTTACAGATGTTTCTCCTTTTTTACCCCATTGACACCCTCCTCTCCATCCCCCTCGCCCCATCCCCGGCTTTGTTGCCCATGTCCATTGGTTATGCATACATGCATATAAGTTCTGTGGTTTATCTCTTCCCACCCCCCACTACCCCCTCTTCTGAGGGTTGTCAGTCTGTACCCTACTTCCGTGTTTCTGGGTCTACCGTATTCCTCAGACTGTTATATTTATTATATTCCATATATAAGTGAGATCATGTGGTATTTGTGGAATTTTATGCATTCACGGGTCACATTTAAGTCTTTTATCCATTTTGAGTTTATTTTTGTGTTTGGTGTAAGTTGATGGTCTAGTTTCATTTTTTTTGCATGTAGCTGTCCAATTTTCCCAACACCATTTATTAAAGAGGCTGTCTTTACTCCACTGTATGCTCTTGCCACCTTTGTCAAATATTAATTGAGCATATTGCTTTGGGTCCATTTCTGGGTTCTCTGTTCTGTTCCATTGGCCTATATGCCTGTTCTTGTGCCAGTACCAGGCTGTTTTGATTACAGTCGCTTTGTAGTATAACCTGATATCTGGTATTGTGATCCCATTGCCTCCTTATTTGGACTATAAGCTCCTACAGGTTATGAAATATTTACATAATTTATTTTGTGGAATCTAAAGCATTCCCAGCTCAGTTCTGGGCCAATGGGAGGTGTTAAAACTGAATAAAAATGTGTTATTTGGGCCCTCGGCACATATACTTGCTCAAAGTAGAGAGCCTGCTTGAGCCCTCTGGGATGAATCCGGTTTTGGTCTTTCAGTATATAAAGCGTTAATGACATTTTGTGTTTTATTTCTGCCATTAATTTTTTTTTTATAGTTTCAAGATTATGTTTTATTCAGTATTGTCATGCAACCAAATTCACAAATGAAAACAAGTATTTAGACCTAGACCAAATGCTTTGCTATCACTGGTTCAGGTTATAGAATAGATATACCTTCAACTTTTGGTAAACCTTTCATTTTTAATACTATGCAGACTAATTATCACATACATTTTAAAGAAATCTCCATGGCCCTCCTTAAAGTATTTCTGTTTTTTCTTTTTTTAAAATTTTTTTTTGTTGTTGTTACAGATGTTTCTCCTTTTTTACCCCATTGGTACCCCCCTCCCCGCCCCACCTCCGCCCCGTCCCCGGCTTTTTTGTCCATGTCCATTGGTCATGCATACATGCATATAAGTTCTGTGGTTTAGCTCCTCCCATCCCCTACCACCCCCTCTTCTGACGGATGTCAGTCTGTGCCCTACTTCCATGTGTCTGGGTCTACCCTATTCCTCAGACTGTTATGTTCATTATATTCCGTATATAAGTGAGATCATGTGGTATTTGTCTTTTTATGCTTGGCTTCTTTCACTTAGGATAATACTTTCCAGGTCTCTCCATGTCGTCTCAAAGGATAAGAGATCTTTCTTTCTTACAGCTGCATGGTACTCCATTGTATATATGTACCACAGCTGTTTTATCCATTCGTCTACTGATGGACACTTGGGCTGTTTCCAGATCTTAGCTATTGTAAATAGTGCTGCTATGAACATGGGGGTACATATATTCTTCCTGATTGGTGTTTCAGGCTTCTTAGGGTATATTCCTAGAAGTGGGATCACTGGGTCAAATGGAAGTTCAATTTTTAATGTTTTGAGGTAACACCATATTGTTTTCCATAGTGTATTTCTGCCATTAATTTTTTAAGTGCTGGGAAAATCATTTTTTGTTTGTATGTGAAATAATGTACTGCTTTTCAGAGTGAAAAACATGTGAGTCATTTTTGTTATGAATTATTTAGGATGCTCAGGGATATTCTATTTCTGGATAAAATAGTTCAAAATAAGATTTTAGTATGCATGTGTGATACATATTTAAAAATAAGAATAAACTATCTTCTTGAAAGATTGCTTTTGTAGTAAATTCAGTCACTCAAATTGTTTTCTCTTGAGACCCAAAAATGCCAGGGCATTGCCAGCTTTGAGTTTGTCCTGAAAAAGAAAAGAAAAGGTTTTATTTTAAAGCATTATTTAAGTACTATACTGAGTATCTTTATCAGGTTTTTAAAAAAATCAATTCCCCAATGTGAGAGAAAAATATTAGCAGGTTAAACAATAAATCTTTTACCACTATTTGAAATCTAAGTTTGAAACATGGTTGTAGGAAGAAAGGAGGAAATTATAAAGGGGAGAGCCCTCTTAGGAAAATGCTTTTTGGAAATTTCTACAGACGTCGCCAATGGATTTTAAGGACTATTTGGAGACAAAACAGAGAAAAGGCACAGCTTTGGACTGTAGGACAGGAGAGCTAGAAGAAGCAGTACCCAGGGTCACGTAGCCACCCCCCAGCTTCCAGGCCCATGTGGTGTTCTTTTGTACGGTCCCAAATAAAGGGAAGCTCTTTTGGAGCAAGAAAAGTGATATAGATGAAGTCTCAGAATACCATACAAATGTGTACCTTTATCAATTCTGTGTGAGAAAAGGACTGCCAGAATTTTTTCACCTCCCTAGCTATCAACTAGATCAACTCCACAGAGAGAACTGTGATGTGAGAGGTAACTAACTTTGTGATACCCTAGTTGATGTATGTTCAGTTTGCAAAGGTCAGGCATTTAGCTGAGGGTGGAAGGAAACATGTTTGGATTTTGTATAACATCCATACCATTAATGTATATCTATCTATATATCATGATCATTTCAGTGCTCAAAATTCAAAATTATAAAATAGATGCTATCTTCCCAGGGATAGCTATCCTCCCCCCGCTCCCCCGTAATGGAATCTATTTTTATTTATTTACTTGGTAACAGCTTTATTGAGGTATGATTCATCTACCATACAATTTATCCATTAACATGTAGAGTTTAATGATTTTCAGTATGTTCACAGAGTTGTGCAGACATCAGTTTCTTGTCTGTTATTCTAGAGATATTTTATGCACATATAAGAATATTTATGTATGTAGATATTCTTTTTTACAAATAGATAGTATATTATACACAAATGGAAATATACTATACACATTGTTTGGCACTTTGCTTTTATAACTTAATATATCTTGGAAATGGATTTTTAGTTTTTTTTGTTTTTTTGTTTTTTAATGGCTGTCTAGATTCCATGATTACTTATGTAACTATTCTCCTATAGAGTGTTTTCAGTCTTTTATTACAGAGATCGTTGCAACTAGTAAACTTGTACTAAATGTAATTTTTTATTTGTGACAGTATAAAATTTTTGTCAAGATAGTTTAAAACTTGAAAGTGATAAGTACATAAAATTAAATAATAAAAGATAAAATAATAATTATTCCATTAAACTCTTAATCAGGATGCTTGGGGTGTGGTTTCAGTTTAATTTTTACTAATTTTATAGAAAGTTATGAATTTTAACCTCTGTTGTGAAAGGAAAAAGTAAAAACAAATCTTATTATTGGCTTCCTACTTTAATAAGAAAATATTTAACAATTCAAGACTTTAAGTGCCTTAGTCTGGGTAAGTGCCAAAGGGGAAACTTCCAGTATATAAAGCAGTCAAGTTTCCCAGTTAATAACTTGCAACCAGTAAACATCATAATGGATTCTTCTTGGCATCTGTTAATGTGCTTCAAGCCTACCAAAAAGATTTGGCCAGTTAAATCCGTAACCATTACAACAGAGAATTAGAGTCCAAGAGAACTTTTGTATTCTAGTTTAGAAGAAAGCCAAGAATTATACAAAAGGATTATGACTTAGACTTTTGTAAGGTTTGTTAAGAGTTTATATAGCCATATGTTTTTATTTTTGGCCATCCCTTATTCTGTGTAGTGAATGGTAGTGAAGCCCTCAGGAAGAACTTGTTTTGTTGGGAGGTTGGGGTGGGATGGGAAAGGTATGGCAAGGGAGAGGGAGTCTGTGGACAATGTGTATCATTGGAACTCTTCTTGGTTCAGGAGCCCAAGGGGTAGAACAGGCAATGGCAGCTCTATGGCACATTTACCCACCCTAAAAGTCAAATGCGAAAAGAAAATTCCACTTACTTGAGGGTTGTGGTTCTTGGATCTTTGTTAATCAAGACTTTAGTCTCAATATTCAAATTACTAGAATCATTATAATTTTTGAGATTGGTATTGTAACAGAATATTAGATGAAAAATTTAGATACTTTTCTTATTATTCATCTAACATGCAAACCTAAATATATTATTATGATATGCTTCTTTGTAGTTTTCTTTCTTGCCTTTATGAATTTAGTTGTACTAGGTTGACTTTCAGCTTTTAAACTTTTCCCCACCTTTAATAATTCAGCTATTTCTGGTAATCTAGAAACAATTCTAGTAATATTAAGTGTAACAGTTCCCTGTACTTTGACATCACATATCACAGTACTCTGAAACCAAACACAGTCAGAGCAGGAAAACAGGAAGAAGTCCATGAAATAACAGGCATATACCTTCATTTCTGCGTCAAATTCTTCCATGGATTCTATCAATTTTCCAGGTTCCAGCTCACCTAGTGGAAAGGGGTAATCGGTTCCCAAAATGACTTTATCCTGAAAAAAGGAAATATATTTTTATCTATAATTTTTAGAACATCAAAGAACCCCCTGTAAAATTAATTTATTTAATTATTACAAGCACCCCTATGGTAAAATATCAAATTTCTTCCTGATCAGTAGAAACAAACTGATCTAAAATTTTAAAGATTTAAAGGATTCAAACTTATTCAGACATTCTCTCCAGCAGGTGTCGCTATTAGGTCTCCTTAAGTTGCAAATCAACCTCCATTCTCTCCCCCTTTTTTCTTTTCTTTTTAAAATCTTTATTGTTGAAAATGTTACCCCCCACCTTTAACAACTGAAAGAAAGAATACTAAAAATTTAAGAAGCAGGCATTTATTTAATAAAACCTGCTGATGCCTTCAGATGAAATTAAGGATCCTGTATTTCTTAGAATGATACATTACAATTGATCCCATAATTTTTGAAAACATACTATAGTTGAAAAGGAAAAAAAGCAACAATTGAATGAAAAGAAAACAAACAAACCCCAAGTAATTCCTATCTCTATAAACTGGATCATTGTGTGTTTCTTTGAATGATATAGCTTCAAAGTTTCATTTGACACTTTGTACATCAAAGCACACAGCCTTGACCATCTACAGGTGCGTAAAGCAGTATGTCAGGCAGTGTTCTGGAATCTAGATTACCCTGGTCAACAAAAGAGAAATGGTCCATGTCCTCAGAGAACTCATAATCTAGTAAGAAGGACATTAAATCAATAATGACAGTTTATCAAAATAAAATACAAAAATTACATTTTCAACCAGAAATGTAACTTCTAGAAACATATCCCACTTGTTTGCATGTAATGAAAATACACACAAGAAAATTAATTGTAACATTAATTGTAGGAGCCGAATACTAGCAAACTAAACTATAGCATATTCAAAACTAAAAAGGAATGAGGAATACTTACATATGCTGAAATGGAATAATCGCTAAATTATATTGTAAAGAGGAATATACTTGAAGTTATATTGTAAAGAGAAAGTCTAGGACCACTGTTTCTGCTATACTTGTATTTTTGTGGGACTTATACATACATGAATACATGTTTGTATGTATTCAGTCTATTTCGGGAATAGTATCCACAAAACAAATAACATTAGTTCCTTCCAGGAAAGAAGAGTAAGATTTGGGGTACAGGCAATCTCCCTTCTTTTTTTTTTTTTTTTTGAGATATAATTCACATACCATAAAATTCAACTTTTAAAAGTGTACAATTCAGTGGGCTTTAGTATATTAATTAATTTTTGTAATCACTCCCACCATCTAATTTCAGAACATTTTTATCACCTCCAATTTATTTTTTAAAAATATTTTCTTTATTGATTTAAGAGAGAGAGAGGGAGAGATAGAAACATCAATTGGCTGCCTCCTGCATGCCCCCCACTGGGGACTGGGCCCACAACCTGGGCGTGTGCCCTGACCGGGAATTGAACCTCTTGGTGCATGGGTCGATGCTCAACCAGTGAGCTAGCTACCCTGGCCAGGCATATCACCCCCAATTTAAACTCCATTCCCATCAGCAGGCAGTCTCCATTATCTCTTCCCTCCAGCTCCTAGAAAACACTAATTTGCCCTCTGTGTCTATGGAATTGCCAATTCTGGACATTTCATAAAAATGAAATGTAATATGTTGCCTTCTTTTATTTAGTATAATGATTTCAAGGCTCATTCACATTGTAGCCAGAATCAGTTCTTTTTAGGCTGAATAACATTCCAGCATATAGATATCCCAAATTTTGTTGACCCACTCATCAGATGATGGACATTTGGGTTATTTCTATCTACTTTTTGGCTATTATGATAATGCTGCTCTGAACATTTGTGTACACATTTTTGTGTGAACATATGTTCATTTCTTCTGGGTATATATCTAGCAGTGGAATTGCTGTGTCTCATGGTAAGTCCATGTTTGACATTTTGAGGAACTATTTTTCACAGTGGCTGAAGCATTGTATGTTTCTACCAGCAAAGTATGAGGGTTCACATTTCTCTAAATCCTTACCAACACTTGCTGTTGTCCATCTTTTTTATTATAGCCATCATAGTGGGTGTAAAGTGATATCTCATACTTCTTTTTAAAAACTCATTTTTAGCCCTGGCCGGTTTGGCTCAGCGGTTAGAGCGTTGGCCTGCGGTCCTGAGAGACCCGGGTTCGGTTCCCGCTAAGGGCGTGTACCTCGGTTGCAGTTTGTCCCCGGCCCTGGTCGGTTGTGCGGGTGGCAGCCACTCGATGTGTTCCTTTCACATCGATGTTTCTCTCTCTCTCTCTGTTCCTCTCTCTCCCTCCCACTCTACCTAAACAAAAAATGGAAAAATGTCCTCGGGTGAGGATAAAAAACAACAACAACAACAAAAAAACACACCTCATTTTTATTGTTGAATGTATTACAGACGTTTCCATTTATTTACTTACTTACTTACTTACTTTTTTGGTACGTGCCCCTAGCAGGAACCAAACTCAAGACTCTCTGGTCCGCAGGCCAGTGCTCCAACTCCTGAGCCAAACCGGCCAGGGTTGTTTCCCCCTTTTTAACCTATTGACCCCCTTCTCCAATCCTGCCCCACTCCTGCCTTCCACACACTATTGTTGGTGTCCCTTGGTTATGCATAGATGCACAGAAGTTCTTTGGTTTATCACATCCCGCCTTCCCTCCACTCTTCCCTTTGAGGTTCATCAGTCTAACAACAAATTTGTACTTCTTAATTCCTTCATCTTTTTCACCCATCCCTCCAGCCCCCACCCATCTGGCGAGCAACAAAAAGTCCTCTGTATTTATGAGTCTGTTTTTGTTCTGCTTGCTTATTTTGTTTGTAGATTCAATTGTTGATAGATATGTATTAGTTGCCATTTTATTGTTCATAGTTTTGTTCTTCTTCTTCAAGAAGACCCTTCAACATTTCATGTAATACTGGTTTGGAGGTGATGAAGTCCTTCAGCTTTTTCTTGTCTGGGAAACTCTTGATATGTCCATCGATTCTAAATGATAGCTTTGCAGGATAGAGTAATCTTGGTTATAGGTCGTTGCTTTTCATCACCTTGAATATCTCTTGCCACTTTTCTTCTTCTTCTTTTTTTATCCTCACTCGAGAACAATTTTGCATTTATTTTCAGTAGAGCAAGAGGAAGAGAGGGAGGAAGAGAGAGAGAGAGAAACATTGATGTGAGAGAGACACATCGAGTGGTTACCACCCACACAACCCCAATCGGGGCCGAGGATGAACTGCAATGAGGTGCACACCATTAGTGGGAACCGAACCCGGGACTCTCTGGTCCGTGGGCTGATGCTCTAACCGCTGAGCAAAACCAGCCAGGGCTCTTGCCACATCTTCTTCTTTTTTTTTTTTATCCTCACCCGAGGACATTTTTCCATTTTTTGTTCAGATAGAGTGGGAGGGAGGGAGAGAGAGAGAAATATCGACGTGAGAGAGACACATCGAGTGATTGCCACCCACACAGCCCAACCAGGGCCGGGGACAAACTGCAACCAAGTTACATGCCTCCACTGGGTCTCTCTGGACCACAGGCCGACGCTCTAACCACTGAACCAAACTGGCCAGGGCATCTTGCCACTTCTTTCTGGCCTGCAAATTTCTTTTGCGAAATCAGCTGACAGTCTTATGAGAGGTCTTTTGTAGGTAACAGACTGCTTTTCTCTTGCTGCTTTTAAGACTCTCTTTGTATTTAACTTTTTTGATGATGATATGTCTTGGTGTGGACCTCTTTGGGTTCATCATGGTTGGGACTCTCTACTTCCTGGACTTGTATGTTTATTTCCTTCACCAAGTAAGGGAAGTTTTCTGTCATTATTGTTTCAAATAGATTTTCAATTTCTTGCTTTCCCTGTCCTTCTGGCACCCCTATGATGTGAATGTTGGCACTCTTAAAGTTGTCCCAGAGGCTCCTTACACTATTCTTATTTTCTTGGATTCTTTTCTCTTTTTGCTGTTCTGATTGGATGTTTTCTGCTTCCTTATATTTCAAATCGATGGTTTGTTTCTTGGCTTTACCTACTCTACTATTGATACCCTGTAAGTTATTCTTTATTTCAGTTAGTGCATCCTTCATTTCTGACTGGTCCTTTTTGATGTTGTAGATGTTCTCACTAAGTTCCTTGGAGGTCTCAAGTTCTTTGAAGGTCTCACTAAGTCCCTTGAATGTCTTACCAAGTTCCTTGAGCAACCTTATAACCTGCGTTTTGAACTCTGCATATGATTTATTGCTTATTTCCATTTTGTTTAGTTCTTTTCCTGGAGTTTTGTTCTTTCCTTTCATTTGAGACATGTTTGGTTGTTTCCTCATTTTGGCTGCTTCTCTGTAATTGTTTCTATGTATTAGGTAGAGTTGCTATGTCTCCTAGGCTTCTTAGGATGACCTGTTGTTGTGGGTGTCCTGTAGGATCTAGTGGCACAGCCTGCCTGATCACCCCAGGTGGGCCCTTGAGGTGCACCCCTAGTGTGGACTGTACACCCTTCTGTTGTAATTGAGTCTTGATTGCTGTTGGCATATCAGTGGGAGGGATTTACTCAGGCTGATCAGCTGCAAGGATTGGCTGTGCCCACTGACCACTGGCCTCTGACTACCTTGGAGGATCAGCTGTGTAGGGGCCCACCACTCAGAGCAAGACTTACTTCATCTGGGCTCTGGTGACCACTGAGTCTTCTCATTGAGTGTGTCACTTGTGGAGGTGGTTGGCTGGTGGTGTTTCGATGTGGTCTGAAGCTGTCCACTGGGTGTGCTGGCTCTGGGGCAAGATCAGCCACTGCCTGTGTTCTATCCAGGGTCAGCTGGCATGAACTACAAAGTGATCTGCAGATGGCTGCTTCTTGGGCTAGGCTTGGAGGTGTTCAGAAAAAGCCAAGTTGTGAACCAAGGCTGGTTGCTGCTTGTGCCAGGCCTGGGGCCACTTAACAAGAGGTATGGGGCTGGCTGAGACCAGATGGTGCTTGTTTGAGAGATTTTAGGAAACTCTGAAGCAGGATCC